GGGAGCTGGTGGTGCTGACGGCGACGCGGGCGGTGGCGGTGGTGTTGCTGCTGCTGCTTGTGCTTGCGGGGTCGCAGCTGCTGCAGTTGCTGCTGCTGCTGCTGCACTTGCTGTTGCTGCTGCATTTGCTGTTGTTGCTGCTGCTGCGCAGGTGCTGATTCTGGATGCCATCGGGGAGCGGCCGCACGCAGCGCACTTCTGCCTGCAAGAGGCACTGGACTTGGGCGTGCTGCTGCAGCCGCGGCGTTTGCTGTTTGTGGGAATGGACTGCTGCTTAGAACACAAAATGACGAATGAAAGGCTGCAGCAGTGGCTGGCAGCTCATCGGCAGGTGTACAGACAGCTGAAGGGAACTGACAGCAACATTCAAGAAGTCCGCCTGGCCCATGACGGGCTCTACCTCAGCTTCCGCGGGTCGGCTGTTGAAACGCCGCCTTGCTGCAGCAGCAGCTGAGCAGCTGCTGCACTGCGGCGCATTATTGCCAGCCGCGCTGCTGCAGCGGCGATGCAGCAGCGAAGCAGCTGCTGCAAGTGCGGCTGCTGCTGCTTGTCGGCTCGTCTGCTGCAGCGGCAGCAGCAACCGCGAGCACGCGCTCAGCAGCAGATGCTGCAGCCAGCTGACATTGTGTATTTGCAAAAGAAGTGCTGCCAAGATGCTGCCAAAAGCTGAAAATAGCTGGTGGCTGCACAGCAGCAAATGCCCGCAGTGAAGATCTTGGGAGGCGCGGGCTCGCCGTGGCGTTGTGTTGGCAGTTTCGAATTGAATCCATTCTGTGTCTGTTCTTTTTGAATTTGGCTGTTTCTTTGGCTACACTAAACTGTGTTTGTGCGCCACAAAGTGAACAATATGTTTTTATCGAAGTGTGCAGCATTAAGATCGAGTGTTCGTTTCTGAATTTTGCGGGTCAATTAAACGAAGAAAAGTTCAGAGAGGAGGAAGAGGCTGGGACAAACTTCCCTGCTGCCCTTGGCCCATTCGCGTTCACGAAATGGTTTCTTTGTCCCTCATATGGTATTTGTGGTATTTTTGGCCTCGGCGTCGCTGCTGCGGGGCCCAGGCAAACTTCCTGGGAGCCTTTGCTGCGCACGCGGCACTGAACCTGGACCGACACTTTCTTCAAGCAGCAGCAGCTGCAGCAGCTGCAGCAGCTAGCTGCTCACAGTGCCAACTCGGAAAAGCTGGCCAGCCACTCAGCCAAAGCTCGCTAGCCACGGTTTGCGTCGCTCGTCACGGCACTGCCACTACCCATCATGCAGTTGGGACCAGCGGTTCCTCCGTGACCACTTGGGCCCGCACGTCAGTGGCAGCAGCATTCTCTGGTGCTGCTGCCGGCACTTGTGCTGCTGCTGCGGGAGGCGCTGCCGGGGTTGCCTGCTGCTCCGTTGCTGCGCTGCTGGGAGATGCCGGCGGGGATGCAGGGGAAGCTGGGTAGTCCGTGGTCTCCCCCGTGGCAGCGCTGGAAACGGAAAAGAGAAGAGTGTTGTTCTCACTCTTGACTGTCACAGTGTCCAGCTCCTGCAGGCTGCCCTGCAGCAGCAGCTGCGCTATGCGCGTTTCCACCAGCCTTTGAATCAGGCGTTTCAACGGGCGAGCCCCGTACGCGGGGTCGTACCTGAGCAGCAAAAGTAGAAGCAACTGACACAGATGCAGCCAAAGCAAGGGCGAGAAAGACGCGGCCACAGCCAAAGTAAGCACAAGAAGCCAAAGACTGATGTACCTATCAGCCTACACTGTCAGCGAAAGCAAACAAAACACAAAGTCCCGAACAATAAGCCAAAGACGGACACATAGGCTCACACACTCGCAAAGGCAGTGAAAAAAAGGTGGACACACAGAATCGGAAGCAAAGAAACGAGAAACACCAACAAAGCCCAATCCACGGGTGGCTTCACATGCCACGTATGCGCACGCATGCAAGCGCATACAGTTCTGCACCTGCCGCAGATGAGCAGTTCACATATGCATGATAGCGGGGGGCAGCAAAAGGCGGTTTTCCTTAGAGCTGTCCATCTTCAGCCGCATGCAAAGAAACACCAAAAGCCAAAACGTGTGCAGAGGCTCAACGGAATCCCACACAGATGCAGCTTACCCTGTGTCTGCGAGATGAACCAGGGCCGACTCGTCCACTTTAAGCTTGATCTTCTTCTCCAACAAGCGATCCGCTACACGCTCCATCTCCAACCGTACTACCTCCTTGATTTCTGCAAAGTGAGGCACAGCAACCCCAAGGATCTCCGCTCAGCTCACTGAATGTTTATATAAGTGGTGCACAACTACACGCAGGTGAATGTACGCCTATATATGTATGTATAAACCTAGCAAGCATTCTGCTTTGAAAGCACGTATTTGTATAAGCACGTTAAGACGTGAAAGCATGCTTCCACACGCACAAACATTTGCCTTTATGAGTTCTATATTTTGCCTACGTTGTTTGTTGAGGGCGTCAAATACAACAAACTCATCGATGCGGTTGTAAAACTCTGGCCGTAAAGTGTCACGCACTGTCTGCATGACTTTCCTGCGGGCAAACGGCAGCAGCGCAAAAGCCCCAAGACCCGCCCCTAATCCACAGGGGGCACTGGTAACCCCTCAAACCATTCCCTTCCCGTATAGCCACAGACATGACTGGACAAACACAAACAAAGAGCGCGTCGCCAATGGCCTCAGATTCGCCTTTGCTGCGCCATAGGCTCTCGAGGGGTACAAAAGACTGCCTCGGCCTGCGCTGCCTCGCAACGGAGGCAAATGTTTTTCCATCTTCGGCAAATTAGCAAAACGCGCCGGGTGTAAGCGCACCCGAGCAGATGCAATATCAACAGCAATGCAAACACATCAAGTAAACAAAGGCAGACAGACATGGTTAAGTCCTCAAAAGTGCACTCTATATATAAACCCCCTATATTCTAGGTTCTGCCTTCACATGACAAAGCAACGTAGAACAAATGTATTGGAGTACAGCCCCACCTTCCTACCTACATGCAACTACCTGAAAGACTGCTTTCAACACCTACTTTTCAACAGCTTGTTTCTTGGAGGGGTCCCCAGCGCTTTCAAGGAGAGCATCTGCGCCTATGTTTGAAGTAAAGATCACGACGCAGTTCCTGAAATTAACAAGGTTGCCCTTGCTGTCCGCCAGTCGGCCTTCGTCCAGCAGCTGCAGCAACACGTTGAATATCTCTGGGTGGGCCTTCTCCCTGAACTCAAAGACACACAAGGCAGCCCAAACCATCCAAATAGGTTTGGAACCCGTCTGCTACACCTAGCGTGGCATGCAGGCAACTGCAACTATGATAAGTCTTTTGCATTGGCTCAGAAAAGACGGAAAGTGCAGCAACGCGTATGTGTGTTGCTTCTCGAAACTGCATGCCACTAGTGCTGTGCCTGTGACTAATGAGCACCCCGCAGCTGTTTGCCAGCACGAATCGCGTGTGAACAAACATAAACACATGAAATGTAAAATAACAAGAAAAACTGTCACCATTCTACCAACTGGCTGACGGTTCCCTGGCACGGGTGGCCTGCGCTAAGGAGCTCTTAGCCTTACATCTCATCGAAAAGAATGACAGAATACGGTTTCTTGCGGACAGCGTCGGTCAACTGTCCTCCCTGCTCGAACCCCACATAGCCAGGCGGAGCCCCAATAAGTCGAGACACACTGTGTCTTTCCATGTACTCGCTCATGTTTATCCGCACAATCGCATCCTCTGCAGCAGCAACAAATGACACCGGCAAGCATCCCCTGCGCACCAAACTCCCAAGACCCAAACTCCCAAGCTTCCAGGCTACAGGAAGCCTCTCAGGCATTAGTAAGCACTTGAGAAGCCCCTCAGAAGGTTTTAGAGGCAGACGCTGGGGCTGGGCAGAGTCAGAAGAGTAGCAGCAACAGGACTTGGGTCCGCCCTTGCAATAGCACTCTACTGTTGTTCGCATGCTGCATAGCAGTCTGCCCGCACTGGCGATGTGCCTCAGCCTGTGTTTCTTTGTCCCTGGTGTCTGCCTCTTTCCCGTTTCAACAAATTTTATTAAAGGTGATCCTGCAGCAAAGGCAGTCTTTCACTCACCCGAGGCAAAGAGGGCCTCCGCAAGAGCCCTGCAGAGCTCCGTCTTGCCAACGCCAGTGGGGCCCAGGAAGAACAAAGAAGCAATCGGGCGGTTCGGGTCGTTGAGGCCTGCGCGGGATCTTTGGATGGCCTCCGCCACCGCAGAAACCTAAACACCGCAAGCACCGCCACAAGGGCAAGCAACATGAAACCCTCTTCCCACCAGACGCCAGAGGCATAACAAAGTAATAATCTGGTGCAAATAATAATGCAGTATCTAGAGGCATAGAAAGAACGCAAAAATGGGCTCGCCATAAAAATACACGAACAAAAAGTCGATCTGCGCTGCGCCTCTACAATGCTCAAAACGGAGTGGATTCCAGATAACGCATTTGTCTAAATTGATGACTACAAGTGAGACAACGAAAAGATGCAACAAATACGAAACATACTGCTTTATCTTGGGCTATAATACGCTCATGCAATCGATCCTTAAGGTTCAAAAGCTTCTCCCGCTCAGACTCCTTCAGCCTAGTTAGTGGGATTCCTGTCCAAACCGCCACTACCCCAGCTATATCATCTGCCGTCACTTCGTCTCGTAGCAGACGCCGGCCCTCTGCATGCGCCGCTTTATACTGCGCCTCCGCCTCTTGCAATTGCCGCTGCAAAAGCACCCCGCCACGCCAAACAACAACCGCTTTTTATTGATAAATTCAAACAATTAGGCAAAGCACCATTAGCAGCAAGGACGCGCAAAATGATACAATAACATGCAGACACCCCCTTTCATGCACTGTTAAGCTAAGCATTGCAAGCTTCCTGGTGCCTGCCTTTCAGCAGCAGAACCGTAAGCAGATGCAACAAGACGAAGAGGGCTGTTTACCTCAAGATCTGGCAGAGTCTCGAATCGAAGTTCTGCTGCTCTGTTGAGGTCAAACTCTCTTTCTGCCCTTTCAACCTCTACCTTGACGACGTCAATGCGTTCCTTAATTGCTCTAATAGCATCCACTTGACTCTTTTCTTTGTTCCAGGCATCGGTAAGCGTCGCCTGAGTTTCAGATAAACCAAAACACGGGCAAGCAGCAAGTTCTGAGCAGGGTCACTGACAGCTGCAGCAATATAAGCCTCGCAGCAATGCAGCAACGAGAAACAGTAACGGACGAACGCAAGCATATATATCCAAGCACAACTGGAAACAGAAACGTGAGGGGCAGCACAATCAAAAGCAAGGAAAGGAACAACAAAAAGCCCACAAACACAAGCATCGCAGGCACGAAGTGTGCGCAAAACCGCGTGAATGCGACTGGCAAAACATAAAGAAGAATTGACACGCACTACGGTAGATCACAATGAGCAACAAGACACGCAGGCAAACAGTGGGAAAATAGAAAATAATACCTGTTGAGCCTGCAACCTCTCTATTTGACTCTCCACCGCCCGGAGGCGTAGCTTCTCTTGCTCATCCAGGGCTCTGGCCTTGCTGTCTCCCAAGATCGAGATGCGTTCCATTTCCAGCTGCAGCAGCAGCCTGTCCAGCCTATCCAACTGTATGGGTTTGCTGCTCACTTGGATCTTCAGACGCGCAGCCGCTTCATCCACAAGATCGATCGCCTTATCCGGCAAGAAGCGATCCCTGAAATGACAAATATTCATTAAAGCACCCCTTTAAGAAGCAGCAGCAAGAATTCATGCCCGTGGCGTCCTCAAATCCTGAGCTGCCGGCAGAACAGCCAGAAGCCGTCAGTCAGTTTCTTCGCATTCAGCAATTTGAGCCCTCATGCACAGTAAAAACGAGAGCTGGCCTTGCCATGACTCGCCTATGCACGTTGGGTGCAACACCCTACGCACGCCACTAAGCCCTCAGCAGCAAAAGGTGTCTATATCTTCCTGTTTAATGAATATCTTTGAAAATTCGGGTGGCCGCAGCCGCCGCAAGGTGCAACTCTGTACTTCTAGCACAGCTGCCTGCATGCCCCACATCCTGGCCCAGCATATGGCTACAAGAAAATCTCACGTGATGTAGCGGCTCGCGAGGTTGGCTGCCTCCACGAGTGCAGAATCCAGAATGCGGACACCATGATGAACTTCATAGCGCTCCTTGAGGCCTCTGAGAATGCTCACTGTCGCCTCCACCTGAGGCTCGTCTATCTGCAGCCCGCAACAGCAAGCAAAACGAAGTCATTATGAGCACATGGGGGGGCATCAATTAAATGAAGAAACAGAAACCCCTATAGAAGGTACGAGGGCACTTCAGTCTTCACACGCGACGGAGCGCGAGAGGACCCGACACGGCAGGGCCCCGTGAAAAATCCCGATACCCATTTTAACACTTGTGAAATCACAGAAAGGCTATCTGCTGTGTACAGTAGCTGCTGCCCTCTGTATCCTTCGACCAAAAGCCCCGCTCTTAGGCCATGCAGCCTCCTGTACAGTCAGCTACTTCTAAGAGGAAAGCACGCACCAGGACGCGCTGGAATCGCCGCTCAAGGGCCTTGTCCTTCTCAATATGCTGACGATACTCTTGCGTGGTTGTCGCCCCGATGCAGCGAAGCTCTCCTCTTGCTAGGAGGGGCTGAGGGAACAAACAAATAGCAGGCAGATATAATTAAAAATGGGCGCACGCGAATCACCACGGCCCTTGTCCAAAGGAAAATGCCGTGAAGATCAACATGGCTCCTACAGACCAAGGGCTGAGAAGTCACTGGAAGAAATGGCGCTTGCAGACAGTCAATTCCCATATTTCCGAAGAAGAAATCCAAGATCAGCAGCAGCACAACTTTGATAAAAGGATGAAACCGGATGCAAAAGACTGTTAGGGAGACGAAAAAGAGTTCGTGGTACTGCTGGGAATGCCGTAACTATTCAGGTGAGCGAGACAACTACATAGCAACGAGGCACAACACAGCAAGACCGTTACCTTCAGGAGATTGCCTGCATCCATAGCGCCTTCTGATGAGGCCCCTGCGCCGACAACCGTGTGGATCTCATCAATGAAAAGCACGACGTCGCCCTCGGCGTCCTGCACGTCCTTCAGCACGGTCTTCAGCCGCTCTTCAAACTCCCCGCGGTACTTAGACCCTTTACAAAACAAATAATGGCACATAATAACATGCTAAATCGCTGGCTGCCTGCCAGAGAAGCGCATAGCCAGTAAAGCCACTTGCCAATAAGGCTACAACCTCTCCCGCCTCCGATTTGTCCGCTGAACATGCCAGCGGCACTGTGGTCAGCAGCAACATTAGCACTACTGAAAGCAGCTCGGGCAACAAAGGAAAGCTAGATCGCAGATAGCTTACCCGCAACAAGTGCGCCCATATCCAGTGCGAGCACGCGCCTGCCTTTGAGTGAGTCCGGGACATCACCAGAAACAATCCTTTGGGCGAGGCCCTCAACAATGGCCGTCTTGCCAACGCCAGGGTCTCCCAATAGTATGGGGTTGTTCTTAGTTCTCCGTGAAAGAATCTGAATCACTCGCCGTATCTCGTCGTCTCTGCCCACCACAGGGTCCAGTTTGCCAGCTCTTGCCTCCGCCGTCAGATCTTTCGAATATCGCTCCAAGGCCTGGTAAGCCTGGGCAAGGAAACAAATGAAGGTGGAGGCGCAGGAGCTAACGCGTCAAGAAGTTATTCTTAATATTCTCTCACGAAAGAACAGACTAAAAGGAACACTTGCTTCTCCACACCGGCGGGCAGTTACGCATCTTGCAAACGATGCAACTGGTCCTAGCGCCGCTGCTGCTGCAGCAAAAGTCATGCCGCTGCTGCCATCTCAGGCTCGCCCGCTTTTTCCTGTCTATCTGTCTGCCAGCTTTCCTGTTCTTGTAGGTGCTAGAGTAGGGTGTAAGTGAGCCTGCTGCTGAAGACGACTTGGCTCACCATCTCGGGGTTCTTAGTATTGACCCTCTTCTTGCCCCGCACCTCCACCACCGCCTCTTTGATTTTGTTGAAACTCACGCCTTGCCTTTGAAGCGCCGGCCGGAGGAACTTCGCGTCCTCCGCGGCCAGACCCAGCAGCAGGTGCTCAACAGACAGGTACTCATCCTGCAACACAAGCAGCAGCAGCAGCAGCAGCAGCAGCAGTTCACAGCACAGCTCCACTTGTGGCAGCCACGCAGTCAAAAACGCGGCCAGCAGACACTGGAAACGCCTGCAGGGCGGGCGCGACACGAACAGGGGAGGAGGCAGCACTCAGCAGCAGCAGCAGCAGCAGCAGCAGCAGCACGAGTGGCCGCAGCCCCTGGCCTTACTCTGAACTCCCTCTTGAAACGCTGCGCAGAGGCAAGGACCTGCTGCAGCCCCCTGCCCAGGACCTTTTGGTCGCCAAAGCCCAGCGCCATTCGAGGCTGTCTTTCCAGGTGCCTCTCCACCTCCTCAGTGAGCTTCTCCACAGAAACCCCAGCGCGGCTTAAGACGCGGTGGGCCAAACCCTCAGGGCCATCCTGCAGCAGCGCTGCGCAGCAGCACACCCGGGGAGCCGCAGCAGGCGCGTCCTCAGCAGCAGCGGCAGCTCGCGGGCAGTCCGCAGCAGCACAGCAGCAGCAGCGCAGCAGCAGCAGCGCAGCAGCAGCAGCAGCAGCCCCGAGCAGCTGCAACCTACCCAGCAACAGCATCTCCGCCTCCACGTAGGCTGACTCGTGCTTGTCCGCTATGGACCCCAGGGCCCCCATCGCCTCCCAAGCCTTCTCAGTGTAGTCGCTGGCGTCGAGGACCAGCCCATCATCTCCTGCGCGGAGGGGCCCCACCCCTGCTGCTCCCTCAGACCCCACTTGCTGCCACATGCACCCGTACCAGCTGGCGTGGGCCCCGGGGGCCCCCCTGCCCTTCTCCAGCGAGGAGTCCAGGGGCCCCTCATAGCTCGTGAAGCGGGAGGCCCCCACTTCCCGCCGGCTGCTGCTGCTGCTGCTGCTGCTGCTCTCGCTGCTGCTGACCGACTTGCTGCGGGGAACGCCCCGAGAAAGAAAGCTGCGCAGGGAACCTGCAGAAGCGAAGAAGCAGAAGGAGCACTTGCCCTCTACTCCCATCAAGGCCAAATAAATCGCCCCCATAATGAAAGAAATATAAATATATATATGGATGTACAAGAATTATATATACCATATATATAACCTCATATGCAGAGAGAGGCAGCCGGTTGCCGGTGGAACCAAAGCAGACGAAACCTTTACATCATTTTGTGTATTCCCAAAGCCAAAGATAGATACGCAATGACGTATATTACTGTAGAATCCGCAGACCTACAAGAGCACGCGCTGCACCCTCTGTCCTCCCACAATTCTATATTCATTCAAGTGCCTTCAGTGCTCTGTCGACTGCCAGCTTCTCAGAGGCAGCATAGGAAAAGCCCTTGTGGCTGTTCTGCATATGCGGCCTCTGTGTGTTGGCCTGTGTGTCCGTCTCGCTCTGAGGCTTCGCCTCCGTGTGCCCCCTAATGCCCCTGAGCCTCTCTTTTTGCCTACCTCCGGGGAATCCGATGAAGCCGAAGAATGGAGAGGAGCTGTCTTGGGCCAAACCCACAGCCCCCTGGAACAGAACCAGCAGCAGCAGCAGCGGCAGCAGCAGCAGCGGCGGCCGCCCCGTAAGACGCCCCTTCGCAGCGCTCATGACGGCCGATCACAAGGAACGCGCTGGCTGAGAAGGGGCAAACTATTCAGTCCGGGCCAACTGACTTCACACTGAAATCAGGAGCAACCGGCGGCTGCTGCTGCTGCTGCTGCTGCTGCTGCCGCCGCCGCCGCTGACGCCTGCAACTTAAAAAAAGGACCTCCTGGCCTCTTCCCGTGCCTTTCTGTCCTCGATCCATCCGTTTGGCTCTACACTCAACAGATGGGGCCCCCGAGACATGGGAGCAACCCACGCCAAGACCTGAGGAAGGGGCCCCACGACGAGCACCAGCGAGACAGAGGGGACACCACTGGGGGGCCTCCCCCTTTTGCGTTGTGCTTGTTTAATTAGCAGTTAAATGAGCATTTATTTCGCATGCAACGATGAATAGAAAGGGACAAAGGGCCAGCGCCGCTCAGCAGCCTGCCCTCCCCACAAGGCCAGACCCTGTGCTCAGGGCCGGGGGCGGCTGAGAAGGGGGGGCCCCCGAGAAAGGAAAGGAAAGGCCTTGCAGGTCCGGCCTTTTTGATATCTTCTTTCTAAACGTTTAAGGGCTTTTGCAGCACACGGGGGTGTGCGACACAGTTTTTATTCCGCGTGTAAAGGTTCTTCGCAGCGGAGAGGCGGCTGGGGCCGCCGCAGCAACAGCAGCATGAGCAGCAGAGGCTGCAGCGGAAGCAGCACACCACAGGAAATCCAAAACCTGGGAAAATAACAGCAGAGATCGTTGGAGGGCCGCCAGAAGGCCCCCTAACGCATCAAGGGGAACCGCCTCAAGGCCCCATGCACGAAGAAGTGACCCCGTGCTGCAGGGGCCCCCCCCAATCGGGCGGAGGGCAAAAGGAGGCGAAGGGAAAAGAACAAGAAGCCTCTTCCCCTGGGTGTCCGCGTGGAGGCCTAGCCCATCCTTTAGAAGGCCCTCTGCCGGCTTGGGTGCCTGCATGCGTCACCGAGCTTCTGGCCCCTCCATGTCGTGTCTGCGAGATAGCAGTATTGCCCTGTGAAGAGTTTCTGGCGGTCTGCCCCCAGCACTGCCATGTGACCAGTGGTCCACTGCAGCCGGCGCGGGGAGCCGCTCCCCAGCCGCAGGCTCCTGTTGAGGGCCCGGGAAGGCAGCGGGAGGCCGACCCCCTACATAAGGCAGATTCTTGGGATCAGGGGCCCCCTGAGACTTCATTTAACACTTTTTCAGGAGAAAAACACTCAAAAGATGCCTCTATTGCTCTGCTTTCCGCCCACGGGCCTGCACACGGCGTGCTATGCTCCCCGGCAGAGATGGGCACAGGGAGTCCATTAGAAAAGCCCGCAGAGTCGTTTGGAGAGGTCGAGGAAGTGGCTCTGGCGCTGTGCGAGTGCATTCTCTTTCGACTGCATGCAGCTGCCCGGGGGGCCCTTAAGCCATTTCTCACAGAAACCTCTGTGAACCAGCAAGGGGGGCCCCCCCCCTCTTCGCTGCTTCCCGTGGGCCCCTGCAGGCTGCTGCTGACACTTACAGGCGAAACCCATGTAGGATATAGTGCTGCTGAGATGCGCTTGCTGTCGCTGCAGCAGCAGGAGGCGCTTGAGGGGCCCCAGGGGCCCCAGGCCTGTCTGCTGTTGAGGGAGCCCAAAGCAGCAGCCACGCCCTCAGCAACGGCTGCAGATGCTGCAGCAGCAGCAGCAACAGCAGAGCGGGCATCGACGCCCGCCTGTGCGCAGCAGCACTGGGCTGCTGCTGCTGTTGCCAGTGTTCTCGAAGAGCTGCGGGCCTCACGCCTGCCGCTGCTGCTTCACCCAAAAGGGGCCGAGCTTTGGGCTCTCAGGCGCCAGCAGCTGCTGGTGTGTGTCCGCCTCCTGCTGCAGCAACAGCAGCAGCAGCAGCAACCCAAGGTGCTTGGGCTGCTTCAGCCACAAACCACCGCGGCAGCTGCAGCAGCGGGTAGAAATGCTGAGCCGGACTTGCCGCGCGAGATCCGTTGGCTCGTGAAGACAGCTTCGCAGGGCTTGGGGTGGCATCAGCAGCAATTTGACATCAAGCAGCAGCAGGTGAAGCAGCATCAAGATCTGCTGCTGCTGCTTTTGAGGTGCGAACTGGGTTTTTCGCTGTGGCACCTCAGGGTCCGCAGCCACAGCTACCAAGCAGCCGAACATGCCCACAGGGTGCTGCAGTTCTTCCAAAGCGAAGCGTCGAAGGCTGCTGCTGCTGCTGCTGCTGCTGCTGCTGCAGTGATAGACAGCGCCACGCTGCCACGGAGTGGAGTTTCTGTTGAGCAGCAGGGGAAAGTTTCTTTTGGTTCACATTGCCTCGCGCATGAACTGAAAACGGAAGAAATGCTTTTCTGGAAATATGTTTGCCAGACTATACCGTCTCACTTCGCCGGTGGGCACCAGCTGCTGCGACTGCTCTCTGTGGATCTGCAGCAGTTGCTGCAGCAGCAGCTGAGGCAGCAGCGTGCCGATGCAGCACCGCTGGAGCCCTCTTGGATTGTTGCGCAGCTGCGCGTGGGAGGCGCTGCTGCTTCACGGGCTGCCGAAACAGCTGAAGAAGGACGACGCATTCTGTCGCTTTTTCCCACTTGTGAAGCAGCTTGGAGGTTGTGCACCTATGCCTGCGTCTGCCTCATAAAGTGGGCAGCAGCAGCAGCAGATGAATGCATGCGGCAGCAGCCGCCGCAGCTGCAAAAGCAGCAGGAGGAGCAGTGGGCAGTAATAAAGGCCACAGTGCTTCCCCCCTTGCAGGCATTGGTGCAGGCAGAGGATGACTGGGCCTCGCACATGTCTGGTGGTCGTTTTTCGCAGCGCCACAAAGAGACCCTCCAAGAAGAGCTCGATATGTTTGTACAGATAGAAGCCCGCAACTCATCGCAATGCGTCTCCTGATCGATAGAGAACTACAGCGCGCAAAGGAACAATTACGCCTGCATGCGATCCACGCACCCCCTTCAAGAATGATAGTGTAGAACGATAGCGTTGCTGCGCGTGACTGTGGCCGTTGTCAAGCGCACGTGAATTCAGACGGGCGTGCAAATGCTGATCCATGTATACACGGCAGCTCACATACGTATTCACTTGCACCGCCATGTGTGCATTCGTACACTTCTTTATATGCACTGAGGCGCTTGTATACAAAGAAGTGTGTGCAGCGGCCTGTAAAGTGATCAGTTGCATCTGTTTGCACACTGCTAGTGGCACTACACTGGGCCACTGATGCGGCGCAGGATGAGGTGAGCACTTTGCCGTTCCTGTTCGCGTTTGTCTTCGTCTTGATCTGCATACGACTTTTTTTTGCGTCAGAGCGTTTTTCCAAACACCATGCCTTTGGAGCGGGTAGACCAAGAAGGGCAAGCACGAATGCCGGAAGAAAGTTGCAGTGCTGACCTGTTTCATGCCTCATGCTTTCTGTGCTCTTTCCGACTGTCTGGAATGTGTATAGACACCCTTGCGGCGCCTACGAAGAGTGCCAGCCGCCGACAAACGGAGGTCTGTTGGGCTGGCTAGAGTAACACGTACACTGCAAGCGAAGAATCAACTGACAGGCCTTTACCAAGCAGTTCATGCCAATAGATAGAACAGAGGACAGAAATTGCTGTCAGATCGCAGTTGGAAGAATCGAGAACATCGTTGACCGAGGGTGGTCTGCATTGCAATGAGCTGTGTGGTACAGTCAGTTTTGATAGCTCTTTCCATGAATGGACCTGGAAATAGGATTTTTAGCGATCAGGGTATAGGAAGGAGTCGCCCTCATCTACAGTGAGTCATCACTGGCTAGTTGCAAGTAGTAGTGGGATGCCGCTCACTGCGTTCCTAGACTGCTCGCGCTGCCATAGGCAGCATAATGACCAAGCCTTTTTAGCGCTGGAGAGCTTTCAGGGTCTGAAAAGAATTCAGCCGCAACGTGTCTCAGGGGGTGCCTGGCGTATGTCCACCACCTTCCCAGTCTCATCATTCGGTCAGCGGGACTATTTTCTTGCTGGTTTCTTCTACACTGCCTACTCGGACGCAAAAAGTGGCTAGGAACAGACAAATACAATGACAGCTTTAGAAGGCACGTTATGAATACTCATCTCCTTACGGTGTTGCAGAGGGGACCACCCGCCACGAGCGGCACACAGGCAACTTCAACTTGCGTTCAAGGGCCTCAATATTTCCGCGCATTTCTGACCGCTTTTGGAATTTAATCCAGACTGACTTTATTAAACATTGAATTTCTAACTGAATTTTTTTTTCTTGCTTGGTGGTCACTGAGGCAGCAGTATTTACTTCCAGGTGACCTCTTTGTGCTCGCAGGGTCACATTCACTGCAACCAATAACACGTTATATCGGCTAATTCCCCTTTTAATATAATTCTAAATATTAGGATGGTTTATTTAGACACATTAGTGAGTGTGTCGAAGAGGCGTTGCGGCACCAATCCCACGCGTGCTGCTGCCGTTACGGATCGTGCTGCTGTTGCTGTTGCCGCCGCCCGCGTTGTACGCCGGCCCGTCGTTCTGCCCGCTTGTCTGCATGCAGGCACTTTTCTTTAAATACTTGTTGTTTGTGGCGCTCAATAAATTGGGCAGCCTCTGCCAGAGCAGGCTAATTCGCAACTATGCATTTGCAACTACAGTCGCAGCAACAAGTTCAAGAACATTGAAGACTAGATTAGAAGCAAACGACGCCTCCTCAGCAATTCTTTCAAGCTGCCCCTGTATCAGGTGCCTTAATATTCATTCATGAGTGTTTATTTCTCACTTACTGCGGGAAGTCCAGGCCCAACGCCTTGACGGTCCAAAGGAACCAAAGGTCACCTCCAATTTCAAGACAGAATAAACGGCCAACTGGCTTGGGCTATGTGACACACAATAGACCTTCCCATCTTTTAATTTGCATCCCCACTGTTTTTGGCTGTTCACGCCTCTGGCGTCGGGCGTTCGCAACAAAGCTAGGCATGCGCCTGTTCAGCACTTCTCGCCCTCGCAAAGAACCTGACTCGCCTACGGTATGCCCGGTCTAAAGGCCTTCACATCCTCACTGCCCTCCCACGTTGGGTGGCAAGCTCGACCTCGCCGGCAGCCGTTGCTGTATTCGCTACTGCTGCTTCTGACCCTCTTCGCCACAGAGACGAGCATTGCCATTGCTGCAGAGGAGGCAGAGGCCGTAAAGGGTCTTGAGGCAGTTGAACTTGAGCAAGATGCAACAACTGGCCGATCGCGACGGGTAGGCCGGGAGAGGGAAGAGAATTGAAACGGGGGCAGAGAGCAGTACACAATCAGAAAGGCAGAGAAGCAAACGTAAACACAAAGAAGAGGGAGCGAAACGTAGAAAGGCACTGAACGAAACAGACGACATCTCCTGTCTCATGGAATGCTTATTGGCAGCAAAGTACCTCACCGATCCTCTGATCCTGGCTTAACATTCTTTTACTGTTTGTATCTGCCGGCGTTTGCTGCAAACGCAGAGAACGACAAGCCCACAGAGGGATGATTCAGCAGAAATCGACTCTCAGCCAATCTCGGAGGTACAGAGACTAGCAGGACAGATCAATTTTGCTTGCTAACTTCACGCTGCCTGTCTGCTGCCAAGTGCACTCTATAAATTTGCTCAATCCCACCGTTTGGGAATCTGCAGAAGGCTAGGTGAAATTCCGTTGCTGATGCCTCTGTTGCCGCCGCTGTACCTGCAGACGAAGTTGCCTTTATGGTTGCAACTACCACTGCTACTGTCACTGCTTTCAGGGGAAAGGTTGGGACGCTTCATTGCCTGTGGGAGCACATGCCGTGCAAAAACGAAAGCCAGCGACTGAACATTACGGGGCTTTCTCGGATGAGTTGCCAGAGTCCTCTCAAGGTTCCCCAAGGGCCTTTAGCAACAACGCCGAGATGGGCATGAATACTGCACCACCGGTTGAAACAGGAGATCTAGCGCAAGCCCCTCAAGACCATGCTCTTGAGAGATTGAGAAAGGATTCTTTATTCAGCGGGAGGCCTTCCTGTCCATCAAGCAGTCCTGCGTCAGAGGAGAGAAGAAAGAGGGCCGCTGCCGCTGCGGGAAAGGCGCTGCTGCGTAGCCATTTTCAGCAGCAGCAAAGATGGCTATTGCTACATCAGCGTAAGAACCAAGCAGATCAAACAACTCGGCAGCAGCAGCAGCAGCAGCATATTTCTGCGGAGGGCAACAGCAAAACGGGAACGACGCTTGCAGGGCATCCCTCGGCCTCCTCATCATCCTCTGACTCTTCCCAGTTTGCGGACATGCACGAAGAAGACGCAGTAAGAGCCCTATCGGTTTCTCCGCCTGGAAAGCACGTTTTGCAAGAAAGAGAAGGGAACACACAGATAGCGGCACCTGCCTCTTGTGCTGCGCCTCGCTATGCGTCTCCTTTCCTGGCAAAGAAGGACAGCCCGACCTGTGCATCCTCCAGCCAAAGAGCAAGTCAGAGCATATTGTTAAAGCAAACGGCCAGAGACAAGGGAGACTCCACGGAAGAAACGAAGGAGGCTGCGCAGGCGGAGCATGGCAAGGTACGAGACACCCCAAAGCGAGATGCTAGAACTTTGATGCGGGACGTTTGGGGGGGCTTTGAGGCGACAACAGAAGAAACCGCAGAGGGAGAGTCCCTGCTAAAAAGCCCTAATGCAGCCGTGCATTGGAATTTGTGGGGATCGTCCGCTGGCTACAGAATAGCGGATAAATACATTGCACAAAGCGGCCATCGGGGTGCAGCTGTTGGAGTGGGAGAAAGTCCCGAAATGACATGGGTTTTGGGAGCGCCAGCAGGTAAAGGGTTAGGGCTTCACCAAACGCTTGAAGAAGAGAGAGCAGCTCTCCTTGAGGCGCTAGATTACAGCTTCATGGAGAATGCAGAACAGGTTCAGAGGGACGGCGAACTGGTGGGGCCTTCATCACGGCACGCCTATGCAGGTGTCCCATACGCAGCCACTCTTCAGTTCGGCTTTGACTCAGTTCCTCTACACGAGCAGAGGGCCATTGAGGCAGCATTAGAAACTAAGGAAGGTACCGTTCTAGAAAATCCTATTATGAGCCATTTTTGGACTGCGCTTGAAGAGGCTCTAGGGCAACAGTTCTTGACGCCAGCGCAGGTTCAGCTGTCGGGACAGGGAGCCAATGAGGTATCTTTGGTCGAAGGTGGCCCTCTGCATTTGACCACCGTAGCTGAAGAGTGGGTGCAGCAGTTGGATGGGCCTGAGGGCGTAGTAGAGCTTGAATTACTGTCTTTAACTCTAGAAGACTTGAGAGTCATCTTGGCTCTCGAGGATGAGACAGGAGGGCCTCTCTCCTTGGTCGTGGTCGAAGACTGGGGCAAGAGAGAGGAAGAAAATTCTCATTATTTATTGCCTGCTCAGGGGCTCCAAACTTTGACTAAAGAAGGTAGCTTGGAGGCTCTTAGCAAAAGCAGTGGCAAAGAGGAGGAGGAAGACGCAGACGACGTCGCTGAGGACGAAGCCTTCTGGGAATTTTTGAAGGCAAATCCAAGTGCTTGGTAAAGCCGAAAAGGGACTCTTTGAGTAAAGGTGAGTGCAGCGGCACCACTAAGTCACAGAACACTCCTCGAATGTGTTTCTCCTTTCAGTCAAATTATATGTCTTTTGCATTCTGGCAATTAGCAGAAGCAAAAGAGGTCGCGGCTACGGGATATTTGCCGTGGCCTTCGGCGGCGAATATGACAATATCTCGGCAAGCAGCAAGCTTGTTTGACATTGGCTGCAATGCGTTGCATGCATGCAAACAAGGAGAAACGCCATAAATTTGCAAGAGTGTGGATGCTGCATTTAGTTCTTCCTAAGGGAAGCTCAATACACCACGAATGCAAAACACTAAAATGTACATTGCCGTTTACACACTGCTATATGAACAACAGTGTGTATAGCCATCAGTT